GTTTGAATCTTCATCTAGTACTAATTATAACGATTTTATAACCCTCATTAAGTACTGTTTCTAATGGGTTTGAATCTTCATCCAGTACTAATTATAACGATTTTATAACCCTCATTAAGTACTGTTTCTAATGGGTTTGAATCTTCATCCAGTACTAATTATAACGATTTTATAACCCTCATTAAGTACTGTTTCTAATGGGTTTGAATCTTCATCTAGTACTAATTATAACGATTTTATAACCCTCATTAAGTACTGTTTCTAATGGGTTTGAATCTTCCTCTAGTACTGTTTTATTCTTGTTTCGTGGGAGAAGAAATTCAGAAAACGTCTTCGATTTTTTTTTTCATTTGCGTGAAAAATGTTAACAATCTGACTCAACACAATGCTTTACATTATTGTTACCAACATGATTCAACATGATACGTTGCGTTATTGTTACCAGTCTGGCTCAACACGATACTTTGTCACCAATTGTAAAAATTAAGTTTGGTGGGAGACGTAATAGCTAAGACTCTGTGAAGGTGATGTGAAAGGTTTTGGATGTAAGAAACATATTAGATCGTAGAACTTCGTATATTTCTACAGGCAGTGGTCTTTATGTGTATGGAAGGATTTTGTTTTTTTTGTCTGTTTCTTTTATTTACTTTTCCCAGATTGGATAGAAAGCTTTAAGGGTTGATTTCATTTCCGGCCTTTATTTGTACACATCCCACAAATTGAACACGACAGTTTTCCTAAAGGCAAGACACGAATGAAATTTACAAGCTGCTAACTACTGTTTTAATATGCATAACATTCTTAAAATTAATTACACAGTTAACTGTTAAAGTGTATTTGTCCTCATAAATGATTTCGTAATTTAATTTGAATACACTATAAAAGAGCAAAGAAAAAAATTGCATCACGTTTTCATTTGCCCAGGCACAGACAACAAATAGTTCCTGAATAATGTGAGGACAGCAAGTTAAATTCAGTTTCACACTGCTGTTTGTGAAAGAAAATAGACAGTATTATGTATACCTCCATGAGAACTAGTGATATCTGATTGGTGAATTTCCATAGTGACATCATCATATGACACACACACCAAGCTATAAGACAATAGTCAGTATACTGCAGCTTTCTGTCGAAGATAATTTATTTTTAAGGAGTACTCTACTGATTAGTCGTCAGAAAATAGATTTTACTTTTCTATGGCTTGGAAGATATGATTTTGTATAATAATAAAAATGCTCGGAAAAAATGTTTTACATTTTTTTTTCATAGAATATAGTAAGTAATTAAATACAAACCAACAATACTGAAAATTGAGAAGTGTGACTTTCTTATTTTAAACGATCTAAGACATGAAACATTAAACCTTTACAGGTCTAAATAATAAACGCTAACTGAATTTCCACTTTAAGAAAAATGACATCTTAAGTTTAGATGAAATTTCCCTATAGTTTTCACAAATATATCACTTGGGTTATTGGGTTTATTTTCTGATGCGAACTTTTTCTGCTGATCCTGTGTGTTTTTGAAACTGATCAGTAAGATAGACAGATTTAGTTTACTCTCCAAGAAAATGAATTATTCGATTGTTTATGTATTTCAAGTCATTACCTCTCTAAAAGGGAGGTTAAGGAAAGTACCTGTGAAGGTCATTACTTCCTAAAAAGGGGAGTTAAGATGTTATATGTTTAGGTAGTCGAATCGCACGACATCTGACATACCCCCTGTGTCGTGGATTTTGGGGGTTACAAATTTAGCTTAACCATTTTACATAGGATATTATTATGCATATGTTGTACTACATATATATATATATATATCTGAAAAAGTCGCATGCTTCGAAAAAGCACTCTGAAAACACTGAAACTTCTCAAAAATCGAAAAACATTCCTAAGTTCTCCCGACTTCTGCGAACATGTACCCGAAATCTCGTGGAGTTAAGTTTAACAATATTTTGTAGCATGCTTTACACACACAAAAATACAAAACATTCTGATAAAATTCTTATTCCCTATCTAAAAAAAAGTGTTTTAATTTCAAAAAGTAATGTTCCTGTCTACTAAAATGTATCTCATCTATCACATAAAGATTCTCTGTGGGTAGAACAGGTCCTATAATTATTTCACATTGCCTCTGTCTCCCCCTTGTTTGAACTTCTTATGTCCTGAAAACGTTTTTGAGCAAAATTGTATAATAGTTTCGAAATTAATAAGTATAGAAGCAGGATGTTGTTGAATATAAAAGCTTAATATACACCTATTTACACAATAAACCGTACCAACCCTAACTATAGTGAGGAATTAACGAATAATTTACTGATATAGGTTATAAATATGAGTGATCAGTATACGTAATATTTGACTGTCAGTTATATTCTAAAAAATAAAAAAATGCATATTGTTTAAAGCCTTTCGATACCCGTGGTGGGCAGAGAACACATTGCCCTTTGTATAGTTATGTGCTTAACTACAAACAAACAAATTAAAGCCTTGCCAATATAAATTCCTCATCACAAAAATTATTCTCGAGGACAAGACACGCCGCTAAAAACCAAGTTTCGACACTCGTAGTGGGCACAGCATGAATAGCCCCTTGTGCGGCTTTGTGTTTAACAACAAACAAATAAAAGCAAGACACGAGAAAAGACAAAAATAAATGTTTTTTTACAGTTTTTCTGTTAAAGGAAATATCAGCACTCATTTATACATTTCTTAGCCTCCTGGTGGCTAAGCGGCGATTTTGAGGGCTTATAAGTCTAATATTCTGGGTTCTATCCCTGCGTTAGGCACAGCGCTGATAGCTCAGCAACCACCATTGCACTTAACAATAAGCAAAATACTTTCGTATAACTAGAAATGAGATAACCAAATATAAACTTTTAAATTGTGTCATGTAGAGAAATGTTACATATACAAGTTTCGTTTACAGGTTCCATGTTAGGCGGAGTGACACAACCTTGCTAATCATTTCTACAGACAAAGGTTAAAGTCAAGGGAAACTACACAACATAAGTATGAAACAGTATAATAACTCGTAGACATATTAAAAGGTTCTCTCTCTTACATAAAACAAGAATAGGATAACATTTCTTTAGGTTCTCTATTGTATGAGGCAAGGGTAATGGTAACAATATCACTATTACTATTGTATGAGGCAAGGGTAATGGTAACAAGATCACTATTACAAGAAACAAAACTACAATCCAAAAGCGTTTAAATTTGAACATTGTACTTGAAGTAAGAGAACACTATATAAGTATTTACCTAGGTATAGAACACTTATCTAGGCCCTCTGTTATTTTAGCTAAGACTATAATACCTAAGCTTTTATCTGGGTGTTACATGAAGCAAGACAACATTATTACATGACATTTATCCAAGTTTTTCATAACATGAAACTAAACTAAAATACATAAGCAAGTTAGGTTTCCTATTACATGAAAGAAGACTAAATCAAATAACATGTATCGAGGTACATAAGTGTTTACCTAGGTTCCCTATTGCATGAAGCAAAACTAGAGTACATAAACATTTACCTAGGTTCCTTGTTCCATGAAGCAAAACTAGAGTACATAAACATTTACCTAGGTTCCCTGTTCCATGAAGCAAAACTAGGGTACATAAACATTTACCTAGGTTCCCTGTTTCACGAAGCAAAACTAGAGTACATGAACATTTACCTTGGTGCTTCATAAACAACACTACATTACACAACACTTACCTAGGTTCGCTGTTCCACGAAGCAAAACTACAATAGATGAACATTTATATAGGTATTACCTGAAGCAAAACTACGTTACACAACATTTATTTATGTTTCCTATCCCATGAAGTGAAACTAGAAAACATAAACATTTAACTAGGTGTTACATGAAGGTGTTACATGACTACATTCAGTACCGAAGAACGTATTTAACTCTTGAGCTGAGACGATATAGGAAGCTTATGTGTTACATAATCATTTAAATGCATGTTTTGCACCGACCTTTGTGGTTTTAAATAAATTATAAAAATGTAAATGATAATTTATGACCACGTATTTCTTTACTTATAAAAAAAAGAGATCAGTATATGTCTTTGCGGCAGAACAAAGTCAGATAATCAATATGACATACTCTCGAAAGATACTGATAAACAAAGAACAATCTTCGAGACAAGAGACACATTTTGACCTAGTTTCAGCTGTGGATCAGTCAACCTAAAATACTAAAAAAAAAAAAGACAAAAAAAAAACGAATCTCACGTATAATTCCCTAAGTGAACCTAACATCTTCAATACGACCTGCGAGTGATATTGGCTATATCCCATGGAACAATCATTATAACCCACCCACTTCCAGTGGCCCAGCTGTAAGCTTGATGGTTTATAGCTAAAAATCGGTGTTCGATACCCCTAGTGAGCACAACCCATATAGCTAACTGCTTAACCACAAACAACCCAACAAACATTAGCCTTATAACTGTAACTTGATGATGGAAATAGTATTTGAAAACGTTATCGCTTTGATGGATAACGAAAAAAATTAAACATACATTTACAACGCTATATATCAACTTTAACATCAGCATCCGTATAACCTTATATGTAACTTGCTAAACGTATCTATTTTTCTTATCTCCTATGTAGATCTATTTATACGAAAATGTATATATATCTATCTACACAAAATTATTTCAAAGAACATCAAATGTAAAAAAAGATGCGAGAGTCAGACACGTTCTATAAAACGTTTCTCTGCTGTGTACCTGTTTCTGAAGAAGATCTTGTAGTAAACGTTTGGTCAGGCTCCATGTGTAGTTACGTACAAAAGGTGCATACGACGTGAATATTACAGCGTTATAGATGCACTGGCGATCGTGTTGAGAACGATCCGTACTGTTGTTCTCCTGAATTATCGTAGAAATGACTAGACCAACATCACACACACAGTATCTGAACAGTGACAGGCCCACCAAATGTGGACAGATTCAGTTCTCGGCTTCCTATTTACTCCTCATTTCTAATGCCGTGTTCTAGGCGAACCGGAAGTAATCAAGTAAAAATCTTCCGGTCAGGCGTAAATTTCCCAATTTCTTATCTCTATTTGGCTTCCATCCTGTTAGAAATAGGGCTGGGAGACGTGTTATAAACGTAGCACCACTTATGAGATTTGAGTTAGAGGAAAGTGAACTTTTAACATTTGTGTTCTAAGAAGATGACCAATTACTTCATTACTTGCTCTTAGCCGCTCTAGGTTGATGCTGGAGTCCATCTAGCCCAAACGTCGTGCGCTGTTGGCTGTGGAGGCTCTGCAAGAGCCAAGACTCAATTCCCACTTCTTTCTCTTCGTTGCTCGATGGAACATCTCGATCAATAGCTTAGTAGAGGAAGTTCACGGGCACAGAAAAACTGTATAGACTGAAGACGCACGCGCAGCTCCGAACTAGACTTCCAATAATTTGTAATATCGCAGACGAACTCAGAACGAACCCCTGCAGCCTGTGACACCATCATGCTACAAAATCATTTAGGAGGAAGCAACTACAGCAGGTGAGTAAAACGGTAGGAGAATACGGTTCTACATCACACAGTGTGGCTTAAAGGGATTTTATGTACGGTTCGTCAGGTTAGTTGGTGATAAAAATAAATTAAATATTCTCCCAACCTTGGATTTTCAATGTGTAGACTTTAATTGATTTAAAGTTATATCCAATATGTATGTGTGTGTGTAGGTATCAGAGTAGTGCACTGAATTAAAAAAAATCTGAAAAATAGTAATTACTGCATTGTCAAATTAGAGACATTATAAACGAAGCATGCATTTGGCCACGTGATTTCGAATTAAAACAAAAAAAAAGAGGCTTAACACTTTTATTTTTACTGTTCTTTTTTTTCTTCTTCCAAAACTTGGGAGGACATGGGGAAAAAATGTCGTGTCGTAACCATGGCAACGAAAGCGAAGAAAATTCATGTTAAAGCCCAACGTCCTTGTTACAAACAGTTTCTTTTCACTCATGTGAACACATTTTCGTTTTGTGTGCTTATTTAAGAGAAGAAAAATAGTCTTTACAATTTTACAGGTGATTAATTTGTTACTCGTGGTTCTAAAATTCGAAAATAGAATTCCTTAAGAAAATAACTTTTATTACTGCTTAAATAAAACACAAACATATATACTACAAATTTACAAACGGCAGCTTTCTTTATTGTATTATTGTTCTTACCCGTCAAAAAAAGCATCTCTGGCAAATATTTCGTTGTGTTATTTCCGAAAATTTGGCCCGGCATGGCCAAGTGGTCAGGGCGTTCGACTCGCAGCCACGGGTTCGTAATCCCCGTCCCACCAAACATACTCGCCCTTTCAGTCGTGGGGGCATTATAATGTGACGGTCAATCCCACTATTCGTCGGTAAAAGAGTAGCCCAAAAGTTGGCGGTGGGTGGTGATGACTAGCTGCCTTCCCTCTATTCTTACACTGCTAAATTATGGACGGCTAGCGCAGATAGCCCTCGTGTAGCTTTGCGCGAAATTCAAAACAACCAACCAACAAACCAATCCCGGAATATTAATAGCCATGTTAAAAAACAACAACAAAAATTAAGTCATCATGCAAGAAGAACTAATTATTAATGTTTTAAAATTTACAAATGAATTAATCACTTTTTATCAGTCAACTCTGTGTCCAAAATATGACAATTTTAAATGCAAATGGCAACACCTATGGAAATAAATCTCTAGATATAAATTAAGTATAAATGTGGAGTAGTCAGTAAAAAAACGTCAGTAAAATGAATTAGTTTTCCAGAAAACGTAATAGTTAAATTGAAACTGTTGATCTGAATTCTATTATAATCAAATAAAAATTTATTTACTATATTAAACTATATTATATCTGTTATAAATTAAGATAAATATTTCAGAGAGCGGTTAAAATATTCCTGTTTTTTATCATTTGTTCTTTCCAATTTCAAAGACGAAATGCTTTAATAGACTAATACAATGTGCTCAATGTTTAATCAACGTTAGAATAAAGCTAATCTATTGTAGTAAATAATTCTAAAACACATCATAAGTAATAAACAAAACATCACAATTTTATACGAAAACCTCTAAAAAGGTTTGCCTAATAAAACTCATAAATATACAAAAAATATTAGTTACGGCATGGTAGCAAGTCCATTTATGTTATTATAAAAACATCTGGAGAGGCATTGCTGTTACTCTCTACATAAGGACAAACTTTTGGAAAACTCTGGGGTTTGGTTTGGAATTTCGCGCAAAGCTACGCGAGGACTATCTGTGCTAGTCGTCACAAATTTAGCAGTGATAGACTAAAGGGAAGGCGGCTATTCAACACCACCCACCGCCAACTCTTGGGCTACTCTTTTAAAACGAATAATGGGATAGATCGTCACATTATAACCCATTCACGGTTGAAAAGGCTAGCATGTTCGGTTACGGGAATTCGAATCCGTGACTCTCAGATTGCGTGTCGAGCGCCTTAACCACCGGACCATGCCAGGCCTAACTCTGAGGTATTTTCACAACTATTCCCAATGCTGGAATGTCACTAGTGTTATGTTTCTCAACACATCTGGACACTCTTTTATCACATCAAAGGCAACAACTTTATGAATGTTTTAAGTTAACAGGAACATAACGTCAACAAGTGGAAGTTTATTGTAATTTCTTTAATTATTCTCCTTGTCTTGGAAACAAATAGTAATTTAAAAATAAAAAACATCTTTCCTACGATTTAATGATGTATAGTAATTAAAAAAAATATACATATGTGTGTGTGTTAGTAGGTTTCAGGATGTATTGATTTTAAAAAAATCAGAAAAATAGTAATTACTGCAGTGTCAAATTAAAGACATTATAAACGAAGCGTGCATTTGGCTACGTGACTTCGAATAAAAACAAAAAAGCGACTTAACACTTTCTTTACTGCTCTTTTTCCAAAATCTGAGAGAACATGAAAATGTCGTGCCGTAACTATAGCAACCAAAACGAAGAAGATAGAAATTTTACAGCCCAATGTCATTGTTACAAACAATTTCTTTTCACTGATGTGAATATGTAAGTAATTAAAAAAAACATCTTTCATACGTTTTAATGATGTATAGTAACTAAAAAAACATGTTTCTTTTAGTACACAGTAATTCCACAGTCAGTACGTTTCTCGTTACTTTAAACTTAACAACTTTTATAATACACACTATAGATAACAGTGATTCGCAATCTTGTAAGTAATTAAAAAAAACATCTTTCATTCGTTCTAATTATGTATAGTAATTTTAAAATTTTTTCATGAGTTTTAATGTTGGTTAGTGCATCTTACAGCAGTTAGAGGCATAAATGCGATCTTAATTAAATGGCTCTAGCGTTAAGGAGTAAATGTTTTATTTGTTTGTAATGAAACACAAAGCTATACAAAGGGCTATCTGCGCTCTGGCCATCACGGGTATCGAAACCCGGATTCTAGCGTTATAAGTCCTCAGACATATCACTGTGCCACTAGGGAGGTGGGGAGGGGCAGGAGTAAATGAAAAAAAAAACAAAGCTCGGGTATCCATGTTGCAGCGTGACCTCAGTCTCAGTTTAATTTAAATATTTTTTTATTCTCATACCTTTTAAAATTACGTGACGTGTGGCATAAGTTCATAGAAAAAAAAATTGCCAAAAACTGTGTATATACATTTGTATAGAAATATTAAATCTTCAATAATTCAACTGATTCAATATATTGTTGATAATTGTAATAAAAACAAAACGTAGTGGTATCTAAACAATACATTTAACTTGTACAGAAACAGCCATGTTAGAAGAAAGGGATCAGCCATATATAGATGTGATATAAAAAAAGAGCTGAATTATATAAAAGAGCAAACCCTGTAAAGATGTAATGTGAAAGTGGGTAAGTTAAGAAAGAATGAATTATGGAATACTTGACCATTTATATTATTGCAACCGGAATGACCGCTAACATGGGTATATAACAGGGGCCAAGTTTACCCCCAATTGAAGCACTTCTTATGTACCTAGCTGAGCAATACAACTTTAAACTGATCTATTCGTCTCAATCAAATTAGATCTTAGTATACGAGTCTACATCTAATAAAATACAACAAGAAATATGAAGTTTGTTTCCAACACTTTGCTTGTCTGTTGAATTGAGCACAAAGATACTCGAGGGCTGTTTGCGTTATCCGTCCCTAATTAAAAAGTGATGGGCTAGAGAGAAGGAATTTAGTCAATAACATCCATCGCCAACGAAAAGTCGGATTGACCGTCACATTATAACGTCCCGAAAACTGAAAGTGCAAGCATGTTCGGTGACTATATACGGACCAGTAACCCACCGGTTGAGAGTCGAGCGTCCCTAACCACCTGTCTATGCCAGTCCCTTTTCAAACGCAAACTATTTAATATTATTATAAGCATGGTTAATTTATCGATCAAGCCACTCAAATGTCATTATAAGCATGGTTAAATTATCAATCAAGACACTCAAATGTCATTATAAGCATGGTTAAATTATCAATCAAGACACTCAAATTTCATTATAAGCATGGTTAAATTATCAATCAAGACACTCAAATTCCATTATAAGCATGGTTAAATTATCAATCAAGACACTCAAATGTCATTATAAGCATGGTTAAATTACACAGACCTGCGAACTTAAACTTCATGAAAGTTGTTTTGGTTTCAATAATGGATTTTCCATAATTCAGCTAAGCAGATTTCGAAAATAATATTCTTTTTTTTCTATCAGGTTAGGATTTTTTACAAATCGGGAAGAAAAAAAAAACTCTTACTTAGATCAAATTATTATTTCGTTTAACACAATTAACATTTCTTATCATTGTGTTTATTATACTTGTGTTCTAGAACGATCGATAAGACCCTCACGTCGTGATTGGTCTAGAGAAATCTCTAGCCAGTGGTTCTCAACATTTTAAGCATAACAAAATGTGACCCGATTTCAATAAAAATGATTCACTTATGGAGATATGATGCTTTGTTAAAAATCTGTACGTGATGGAGAAAAATGGGTATCATTTTCGGATTCAGCGTACAGGAATTAGTGTAGAACATGTAAACATTTGAAGACACTAAAACCATCGCAGGCCTGTGCTGTCAACCAAGACACTTAAAGATAATAATGCCACTTTGCCTCAATATTGATAAGATATTCCTAAAGATCTATAAAGATCGCTAAAGATCAGAATTTTCATATTTGTATCCTTTTGCACTGACCTTCACTTCAAAATACAAATCAAATTAC